CAGCCCCCCGCCCTTCCCGCCCTCGGCCCAGGGAGGCCCCGCCTCTGCGCCTCCACTTTCCCCTCTGGGAATGGGAGAGTGGGGTGAGTAGGTGGGGGAGGAGGCGCTCAGTAAACAAACGCTCGTGACCTCACAGGTGAGGGGGGAGCGAGGCCCCGAAGGCAGTGGCACAGGCTGTGCCGCCCTGAGAGCCGCTGGGTCCCCATTGTTAGAGATTGATGGAGAGCACCCCTGGGTGGGGGGGGGGCAGGTCCCCCTGGGCCTCACTTCCTCCCCTGTGACAAGAAGAGGTCCGCTCTCGTGACGTCTGGGCTCCCTCACGCTCTAGCAACTTCCCAATTTAATTTGAAACATTTCTTGCGGCTAAATTTATTTTAACTATTGAAACAATTCATTTTTTGAACTTACGAACTCATGGAATTTTAACTGATATCAGATGATGAGAAAATATTTTAAAAAACGTAACTGCTGGGAGAGTAGTATTTTGCAAAGTGGAGGAAACAAATTAGGGCGAAGTAGTTAGCGCCTGTGTGTGTGCGTCTGTGTGTGTGTGTCTGTGTGTGTCTGTGTGCGTGTGTGTGTGTGTGTGTGTGTGTGCGTGTGTGTGTTCAGTAATAGACTTGGAGAGCAGTTTTGAAAACAGTTTAAATCTAATTTTGGTAACTTTACAATTAAAAACTCTCTCTTTCCCTCGACTTCAATGTGAGGAAGGGACCTTTCTGGGGATCACCTCTGTGGGCAGAGCAGTCCCCTGGCTTTTCCTGTTGTTTACAAAGCCCTTTCACATGTACAGTGTGCACGCATGTGTACATGTGTGTAGACATGTGTATAGACGTGTGTACATGTGTGTAGACGTGTGTGCTTCGTTATGCATCGTTACAGCGTCTGTGTGCAATGTGTACATAAGATACAGTTTTAGTGACACTGGTTTACATTGTTTCCGAATCGTGATGCCTCAGATTTCATTGTGTTTGGGGCTCTTGTCACATCATCTGGACGGAGGCAAGTTCTGGGCAGTGTGAATTGCACAATCAGTCTTTTTCTTTTTACTCTAATAACTTGGGGCTCAAGTTCTAGAAACTTGTGACTTTCAAATAGACCTGGAGCAGGACTGTTAACTGTTTCAGTCACGGGGTTGCACCAGCCGGAAGCACATTCGCACAGAACTGAGCCCTCGCGGTTCTGGCCCTCCGGACG